ACTTCCTTAATTTCCTGACTTTATATTTTATGTTGATGTGAATATAGAAATATATATATTAAATATTTTATAGAAATCTGAAGTATATTATTTTTGGGATAACATTGTTTACGTTGAAACTGAAGTGTCATGTAAGATATGAACTCGACCATAATAATCATGGAAGATTCTGAGGACTGCGCTAATAAATGGAAAGAAATCTGAGGCAGCACCGAATAAAAATTGAAATTTTTAGCTGGTTTTCAGTTATACAGTTCAGAAATTTTTTCTTCAAGTATATGCATACAATTTGAAATTCTGAGTGCGATCGATTCCGCGATTCACTCCGAGGTATACATAAAGTAAACCGGAAAATATGCGTCTTACTTGACTAGATTTTTTACAATCGATATGAAAATTGTTCTTATTCTCCTAAAGAAAACCCGGCAGTAACAGATACGCAACTTGCACAGTAATCGTAGGAAAAAATTACCTTCCGCATTATATGAAAAGAAAAACCGTAACAAGAGTACGAAAAAAGTGAAATCACCGTGACCTTGAATTTCAGGATAGGAAGGTACCTTGGAAAGCCATTCTCACCAGTCCGCCAGTTTTATCAGCAACCGTTGTTGCAACATTCAACGGCTGGACATTCGTGGTTCTTCTCTCCATGCTTCCTACTTACATGAAGGTCATGCTCGGATACAGCATCCAGGCTGTGAGTAATGTTTATACCAACAAACTAATTTTTTTTTACGAGCTGACAAGTACCAGAGTGCTATAGCTTGATCGAAAACCCGTGGGCGCATGTTTATGCATTTAGAGAAAAAAATGTATGATGGGCATTATGCTGTTGAGAACTAGGAAACAAGAAACGCCATCTGACACTGTTGCTGGCAGATGCCTGAGTTTGTTTAAATTACAAACGCATGCTGGTGGTGACATTGATTCAGAATTTGTTCATATTAGGTGGACTCTCTACAATGAAAATTCTCTCTGAAACAACTTTTTTTCTGGCTCTTTAAATTTTGTAAATCACTGTATTCACTCATACAGCTTTTATCAAATTTGAGGGTAAAAATGGAGTGAGGTGTGACCTCAATTTATCACAAAAGGGAAAAAAAAGAAACGCAGGCAATCTGAAGCCCAGAACACAAATTCAAGGGGTCACCTTGAATATGTGTTACTAGTTATGCAATAATTTTTATTTTAAAAAATTTCACAGTCAAAGGCACTCGAGAATTCAATGAACAAAACGCAATCAGTTCAAACAATATATTCAAATCTAAAGGTCCTATCCAATAAATGCAAATCACAGATTTGTGCACATATTGGTAGGAAAAAGAAAGGAGAAGATTGTCCCTCAAGAGTTATGGAAAGACTGCTTATAGATTCAAAGTGCAATGAGCTTTTATTATTTTCTTTCAATTTTCTGGTATGGTGATTTTGACCAAAAAATTCCAGAATAATCAATCGCATTTCCTAGCCTCTGATGATTGGCCAAAAGTAATACTGAGGAAATTTTCTTGTGCATTGTCAGCTGATGCAAGAGGAAACATTAATTGCTTTCTTTTTGTTGATTCTCTGCAACATGCACATCATATATGCGTTTACAATTTGTAAAAAATTTTGAAGTTCAGGTGTGCATTATATTTGATTTTTATTGAAAATGTTGGACCAATTTCAACAGAAGTTACTGTAATATGGGAATAATTGAAATTTAGTCAAATTCAGGATCAAGTCATGTTTAAATCCAAATTTGAATGCTATTATATTTGAAAACTTGGACTTTGAAAGTTGCTAAAAGTGGATTGAGTGTCTTATTTGGGCATAGATTTTTCTTTTTTAATTAACTCAAAACCCTGGGTGTGTGTCCTACTTGAGAGCATGTGGTATTTGAGTAAATCTGGTAATTTCGTGCAGAGAACTCCTAAAACCAGGGGATACAACACTATATGGAACTAAAAATAATTTTTTTAGGTGGAGGAAATCGTTGCAGATAAGATTGTTGCAGAGAGACTTCACCTGTAGAAAATATCAAAAGCACCGCATAGAAGAGAATATTATTTATTTGGGAGGACAATCTACACTGAAGTGTAACTGAAGATATGACCTTGACAATCAAACAGGGATGATTCTGAGAACAAAAATTGAAAAAAAAACCGAGTCACAAATAACCTTTTATTTTTCACCATCTTTCAGCTGATCGCACTTTTTTTTGTGGAAGTACTGTACTGTACATGCATGCAATTCGAAATGTCGAGAACAATTCTACGATTCGCTCTGTGCAGTACGTAAATTAAACCTGAAAAGATACGCTCAATAAATACATGTGTGATGAGAAGCTCATTCTATCCAAATATAAAATGCGGAGGTCGGATTGAAGCGTCAATAATGAAGGAGAGGATGGATTTGATATAACCATATACGGAAATCGGATACTTTGTCAAGTGTCAGAAAATCAGTACTCATTCAGCAAACAACTGCGGGGATGATTGTGCAGGCTCAGTCATTCATAAAAGTCCTCATTTTCGTTTCTTTGAGTGTCCTTCAGAATGCCTTGTTGACGTCTTTGCCGCATTTGGGACGAGCCTTGTTTTCACTTGTGTACAGCTACGCCGCAGACCACGTGCTTAAACGGAAATGGTTTTCCGCCTCGTTCGTCAGGAAATTCTCGACTGCAGTCAGTGAGTGCAATTTCACCTAAAAACATATTTCCACATGTTTTCCCAAAACATTGTCATGTTCTCAGAAAAATAGTTCGCACATTTTCCTTGCAAACTTGGAAGTAGGACACTGCTGAAATAAATTCTTCTTTTCATCGTTTGATCACGTGAAAAAACGGGAGGAACTTGAATTTGTGGTCTGATGTTCAATCAGAAACTTTTAACAATCTAAATGCCGGAAATCCTCCAGCTAAATTCTTTTGTATCAAATGAATAAAGCTGGTCTATGTTGACACATTTGCCAGTTTCACCAGGTTGAATTAAACTTCTCCATATAACCGTAAGTTTTTCATATTCTCTGAAAAAATTATATTATAGTTAATCGCGGATAATACCGAACCATAATAAAGTCAAGGCAGACGTGACATATTTTGATTCACTGATTTATAGTTCCGACAAATGCCTTGTTGCTTCTAATTCTTCTTTACTCCCGGAATACAGAATATTCTGATATTTGCACGTGTGAACAGCTAGCATAATATCAAACAAATGAACGTTTCAAGATTCAGCCTGTTTATAATGACCTTCCCCAACTCTTCAGAATTTACCCAGAATTTTCGTGAGCCGATCCGTTGGATACCAGTACTGTATATGGGTGACCTATTGTCCAATGTTCTGTGAAAAAAAAAACCGAACTCGTACTGATCGAAGATTGATATTCCGTTCGATTGATGCATTTTAAATTGCCAGTGAGTCTTTCGAGGGGGATTGGACTCTTCGTCATCTCATTCCTGGGTTGTGATGCGGAAACCACAGTCATAATCTTCGTCATTTCCGGAATTTTGAATGGCGCCGCGTCATCAGCGATCGGGCCGTGTCTCATGGAAATGTCGCCGAATTTCATTGGTAATATTGCTTGAAATATTAGCAAACGTCAAGCAGTCGTTTGACTTGATTCCTGTTTTTTTTTTATCAGGGACGACTTACGGAATATTCAACACGGGGTTTGCCGTTTCTGCGATCGTCGCTCCAGTGATTTCTGCGTCAATCATCAAGGGGAATGTGAGAATTTTTTTTAGCGGAAAAACGGCGCATAAAATTTCCGATTTTGTCCAGCTGACATTTTTAAAGTGATTTCAAGTCTAATTTGGTCATCGGATTACCTTTGATATACAGTAATTTAAAGCTGATTTTAGCATCAGTTATTGAATCACGTGTCCCAAATACTCTCATCATCGTGCTGAATCTATACTAAAACTGGAAAACAGTCAAAAATCGTCGGAAAAATCTGCTGACGTCCATTTTATCAGTAGAATTTTTGCACATTTCATCGATGACATTCAACAATTATAAAAACGAATTTACAATTACAATAATTACCAAAAAGCCTTCGACACTTGGGTGACTTTCTTTCAAATTGCTGCAACGTTTTCCTTGACTTCCTGCTTAATTGGGATTCATGATATTTTTGCGGAAAAACTAAATGGTATATGGTGAAAGTTTTAGTTAATTTTAGTGAAAAGTGGCGCAGGAAATGGACTATTTATGCGGACTAAACTTTACGAACAATTTGAAGTCCAATTTCGTCATCGAATTACCTCGCATATAACATAATTTCAAGCTGAATTGTTATCAGTAATCGGAGCATGGGTTTCCAATGTTAATATTCTGCCGATTCTGCACTAGCTTTAAATCTGCACTGGGTCATCAAAAATTGTGGTACACCTTATCTGATGTCAATTTCGTCACTGGAATTTTTGCACATTTCTTGAATGACTTTCAACAATTTTAAAATGAATTTGGGAATAATTTCCAGCAAACCTTCGACACTTGGGCGACTGTATTTCAAATCGCTGCGGCGTTTTCGCTGACTTCCTGCTTGGGCTTCATGATATACGGCTCAGCTGAAGAACAACCTTGGAACAGATATGGCGAGACTTCTGCTAAAATTCAGCCTTCAACAGGGAATGAAATCGAGGAAAGCAAAGCAAATTCCAATTTGGATTCCGTCCAGATCCCAGAAGCGTTCGAATTCAACACGAAGACATCAGTTGCCTCGAGAAACTCGAACGTCAAAATTTGAAGAAAATAATTTTTTTCTAATGACGCGAATTTATTTTGGTCTATTTTTTCCTGACCAAATTGTCTTGTTCCAAATTTGAAGACACAGCGATTCGTGACATTTAAAAAAATGCGAAATAAAACAGAGCTTGTGGACCGATAAATTATTCCATGCAATCGCAGTGCTGGACGGATTGCCGCTCGATATCCGGTCTTCTGAATCGGAAACAAAAGAAGCCCAACATGGCTCCCAAGACAATCGAAATGCACAAATGAACGTTATAGTAATACTCTCATCATCGTGCTGAATCTATACTAAAACTGGAAAACAGTCAAAAATCGTCGGAAAAATCTGCTGACGTCCATTTTATCAGTAGAATTTTTGCACATTTCATCGATGACATTCAACAATTTTCAGAACGATTTTTCGAGTACAATAATTACCAGCAAGCCTTCGAACCTTGGGCGACTATTTCATTCAAATTGCTGCAGCGTTTTCCTTGACTTTCTGCTTGGGATTCATGATAGTTTAGCGGAAAAACTAAATGGTATATGATGAAAGTTAAATTTGATTTCAGTGAAAAACAGCGCAGGAAATTGACGATTTCTGCGAACTAAACATAAAAAACGATTTGAAGTCCAATATTGTCATCGGATTACGTCGCATATACGATAATTTCAAGCTGAATTTTTATCAGTAATCGAAGCATGGGTTTCCAATGTTAATATTCTGCCGATTATGCACTAGCTTTAAATCTGCACTAGGTCATCAAAAACTTTGGTACACCTTATCTGATGCCCATTTCGTCACTGGAATTTTTGAACATTTCTTGAATGACTTTCAACAATTGTAAAATGAATTTGGGAATAATTTCCAGCAAACCTTCGACACTTGGGCGACTGTATTTCAAATCGCTGCGGCGTTTTCGCTGACTTCCTGCTTGGGCTTCATGATATACGGCTCAGCTGAAGAACAACCTTGGAACAGATATGGCGAGACTTCTGCTGAAATTCAGCCTTCAACAGGGAATGAAATCGAGGAAAGCAAAGTAAATTCCAATTTGGATTCCGTCCAGATCCCAGAAGCGTTCGAATTCAACGCGAAGACATCAGTTGCCTCGAGAAACTCAAGCGTCAAAATTTGAAGAAAATAATTATTTTTTATGACGCGAATTTATTTTTGTCTATATTTTCCTGACAAAATTGTCTTGTTCCAAATTTGAAGACACAGCGATTCGTGACATTTAAAAAAATGCGAAATAAAACAGAGCTTGTGGACTGATAAATTATTCCATGCAATCGCAGTGCTGGACGGATTGCCGCTCGATATCCGGTCTTCTGAATCGGAAACAAAAGAAGCCCAACATGGCTCCCAAGACAATCGAAATGCACAAATGAACGTTATAGATCATGAAAATCAGCATAAGGAAGTATCCGATGAGTGTTTGGACTCCATACAATCCAGTGCTCAAAACATGCCGGGATATAGTCGTCGTCCTGTAAGGATAACCAAGTAAGTTCACACGAATAAGAAGATTTCGCCATTTACAGTATTTCAATTTTTTCGAGTTAAACGGAAATATATTGCAGTAAACATCTTCAAGTTCGAATCATCCAGACATTTACTTGCTTGTTTTCCAAGCTTGAGTTTTACAGCAGAAATGAATCTGAAGAACAGCAGAGAATCAAACGAAAACATTTTGTTCGTTCTCATTCAAGGCGCCCTTTTTTCGCATGAACCATAATCTTGGTTATTGATGCATAGATGTCGCTCGAAGCTCGACGTGGTTCAATAGAAGAATGAGTTAGATTCAGTTATACAGAACTTATAGGCTTTGTATGATCATTCATGAATTTATGACCTTGCCAATTCATAATCAAATTCATCACTTCCGTGAGAAGGTAATCTAGCTTATAAAAATGCGATTCAAATTGTCAAAACGAGTGGAAATAAATATGGTTGAAATACATGAAGAAAAAATGAAAAAAACCTCGACACCAGCGCTCCCAGTTTCTTGTTTTCTCGATCTGTCGCACACATGCAGTCCCTGAAATTTAAATACAATTCATTTTGTATCACACGAGATGAATGCCAATATACTGACTGCAATCTTTCTATAATCACTGATTTTCACAATGAATCACAATTGTTCTAAATTCAGAATGTCCGGTTGCTGCTATTTCGCGTATATTATTAATATAAAGAAATAAAGTTCTTCATTCGCGAAATCCACGACGTTCAGTATTCTGAATCTTCTTCGGCGATGCATAATTTTATTCGAATAAGATGAAAAGTCGAAAAAAATGACTTGAAAAAACAATAATGATCACTCGCCTGTAAAATTTAAGCCACTCGAAGGCCATGGACATGGCGAACACGCAAAACCACGAGGCCACAAATGATCCGACGTTTTCTGTTTGCCAAAACTCGAACAAGATCACTTCTTTGGTTCCCAAATGGAAGAACATCTATGCGATGAGGTTTCGGTGAGAGAGAAAAGAAATGCAGATTATACTCGTGCAGAAAGAAATGATGACTTTGATGAGAAGAAGTAATGTCATGCATATTTCCAAGAATGATCACGACCTACTGCCACTTCGGAATGAGTACGAAATGATCCGTGGACGACATGTAGAAAGAATTTTTGTGCGAATTTCCAGCTCGTCGTTTCTTTTCTTCCACGAAATATTTGAAGGAATTCCATCTCACACACGGCACAGTTGCTGGTTTCTAATTCTACTTTTCTTTTCGAAAAGTCACCAATTTTGTTCAAAATCCCGTGGACGTTGTTCTCGACACTTCGACGAGGTCAATTTTCAATATATATTCACAAGGTCGAACCGTTTAATTTAATTGCACTGTATGTGCAAACGTAATACTGTAAACACATTTTCCTTTACCTAATATAAATATAAGTATTTATCTACATCGTCATTCCAGTTCACTCGAAATTACTGGATAGTTTCAAAACTCAAGTTAGAGTATTCCGTATTGAACACCGATTTTTATATGAATTTTCGCACAGGCAATTTTGACGACGCCAGTTGAAAAGAGACGTGGAATGTGCAATTTGTTTTTCAAAATTTATTAAAGTAGCATTATACAACAGCCTGACTATGCAATTATTAGCCAGTGAGTTTTTCGTAATATTTTTTTACATCGTGGAATGAAGTAACCGTGATTAAAAGGACAATTCACGATAACTTGAATTTTAGATATTACAGTACGTCAATTGTGTTACTACTTACTAGAGCGCAGATTCGCAGAAAAAGTTTGTTCCACTGCTGACGTGAAATTAATCAGAGGATACGACTTTCTCGAAATTTCAATGTCATCAAGAACAACCATGTCAACTGCCAAAGCAACTGCTGAATCTTGTTACATTACAGCTAATTATGCATATTGGTAGAGTTAGATTGATGTATAATAACAGAATCAAATTCCTAAATGATTGAGCAATTTATGGTAGCTGCTTGGTATATCTGATACTTCATCTGTCAATCTTTTGACGTTTGAATTTCCGGTGTAAGGCTTTTGAAACCGAAGAGAAAGTCTCATATACTCGTATCAACGACATGCAGTATATAAAAAATATTTTTTATGAGAATCCTGATCAGGAACAGCGTCCTTCTTTTTATTTCCCTCATGGTTTTCTTCGGGACGCCACGTCAACACTTTCATTATTGATCAAAACAAATAACTCGAAATTGATCAAAAGAAAAATACTTTCCTCAGTTGCATTTGTTAACATTGAAAAACACAAACCAGTATACTGTATGATATACTTGGACTTGAACATGAACAATTTCGGTAATATCCGTGATGTACTCATTTCATCCCTCATCACTACCTCGAAATTATTTGATTTAGCTTTTGAATTGAATCATCCTAAGTTCTAAGCGTTGTGAGTCAATGGATCTAAAATTATAATACTGTTGGAAATTATTACATGCCCTAGAAATTCAGCGAGAAGCACCAAAAGTATAAAAGTGGACTCCACAAATAAATTCAATGGACCAGAACAAAAATCGCTGTAGAGAAAATGTTGCTGTAGGGAACCCCTATACAGGTTGACCCTCTCTGCAAATATCTAGTATACAAAAAATTTCCCCTCACAAAAAAACATTTTTTCCCTCAAAGGTTCTCTCTCAATGTTTATTATGCTGGGGGCTGAGGGTTTTCTACAACGAGGTTTTCTACAACAAAATCCTCTCTAGCTACAATACATTTTTTCTGCTCCTTTGGATTTAGTTCTGGAGAGAGTCCACCTGTACCATAAGTAGAGAACCTTATGAAAAAAATTGATTTATTCAAAAATTCTTGTAGGGAAGATTGTTATAGAGAGAGAGTGTGTGTNACACAAACCAGTATACTGTATGATATACTTGGACTTGAACATGAACAATTTCGGTAATATCCGTGATGTACTCATTTCATCCCTCATCACTACCTCGAAATTATTTGATTTAGCTTTTGAATTGAATCATCCTAAGTTCTAAGCGTTGTGAGTCAATGGATCTAAAATTATAATACTGTTGGAAATTATTACATGCCCTAGAAATTCAGCGAGAAGCACCAAAAGTATAAAAGTGGACTCCACAAATAAATTCAATGGACCAGAACAAAAATCGCTGTAGAGAAAATGTTGCTGTAGGGAACCCCTATACAGGTTGACCCTCTCTGCAAATATCTAGTATACAAAAAATTTCCCCTCACAAAACAACATTTTTTCCCTCAAAGGTTCTCTCTCAATGTTTATTATGCTGGGGGCTGAGGGTTTTCTACAACGAGGTTTTCTACAACAAAATCCTCTCTAGCTACAATACATTTTTTCTGCTCCTTTGGATTTAGTTCTGGAGAGAGTCCACCTGTACCATAAGTAGAGAACCTTATGAAAAAAATTGATTTATTCAAAAATTCTTGTAGGGAAGATTGTTATAGAGAGAGAGTGTGTGTGTGTGACAGAGAGAGAGAGAGTGACTTCACCCCTGTTTGATCTTCATAAAATAAGATTTGAATACAGAGGAAGAGGCTGTTGCAAATTAACCCTTGCGCGGCAAAGTTGGGATATTTTCACAAAATTTTGTGCCACTGGGCAGTGGGCACTGGGAATAAAAAAAAGCCTAATTTGTTACCAAGGGCTAAGTTGGGGGAGAAGTCCACAATTTTTTTCTAATCCTGCAGAAAATTTTCAATGAATATTACAAAGAATCCCTGCCTGATGGGTTACGTGTTCCTTCCTGCATTCCTGGCATAGGATTTGCATCAAAAAATCTTGGAAACAAAAGAAAATTTGCCTCCCGGATTTTTCCTGACTTAGTCCTCCTCAACATGGGTGCATATCAGTAACCTTGGGTCAAACTGAAATGCGCAGCCCCCTGGAAAATTCCTGACTTGACCATGCACTGAGAAAGAATCCTCTGCCATCCAAGGGGCAAACTCTAATTTGTCATGCCTAATTGTAAAGAACAAGAATTGATATTCCCCAAAAACTTGTCCTTGCACATCTTCCTGAAGACAGGGTATAACTTTGGTTCTCATGCTTGTTCGCAAACCTCCAAGGTTTGCATCAAGACTAAAATCAAGGAAAATCAAAGGTTATCTTCTAAAAATGTTCACTGCTCCCTGAAGGATGGTTTTCCTGATTCCTCCCTTTCCATATTTCATCATTCCATTTTCAACTCTCATGCGTATAACTTGAGAAAGGTTGCAAAACTTGAAAGTGTATCTGCCAAAAAGGACTGAATTATACCAACTTCAAAATAGGGTGAAATCACCCCAGTTGTAGCCTGGCCAAAGTCTTGAGTTTTTATTCCAAAATACCGATTTATTTTAAATTCTCCGCAGAGGCAAAGAAATATTGTACAAAATCATTGGATGATTCTGAAGAAAATACCCACATCAGCGTATATTATTCGCCTTATATACATCAGCTGATTGGTCTTGCTGAACGTGTTCTGCTATAAAAACCCTTCATCTTAGATTTCTCGCAAGCCCAATTTCCGAAGTGCCGTTCCATTATTTAGTATTTTTCCCCCTTCTGCTGCTGAAAAATTCCTTCTTAAGTCTTGCTACGATTTTATCTTGGAAAAAATAAAAATCCGAAAGCTGCACAAGATAAACAAAGCCAATGCTGCTGTGGAATACTTCAAGTCATCAGCAGTGCTTCGAGATGAGTGATGCAACAGAACATCTGCTGGTACTGAAAATTACTTAGCCAGTCCTGCAACGTATTTCGA